CTTAACCCTAAGACTCCAAATAGCCCAAAGTAGATACTATTTATTTATAGACTTTAGACCCCAAAGCGGGTGCTATTTGTATACTTGGAGTCTTAGGGTAAGGAACAGCTTCAAGATGCCCACAATTATGGGTATTCAAGCGGATCGGGGTTCGTTGAAAGGGAACTATCGGGGTTTCTATAGGGTACTACCTAGGTTCTATATGGGTAGTTCTCTCAATTAGGGTCCCTTTTTTGGGTACACCATACAACATGCCACGCTGACAAAAGGGACCCTAAAAGAGACCCTATTTTGGAAAGCTACCCATATGGATATTCCTCGTAGATCAGGGTTCCTGCGTTGCAGAAACTTCTTTGCCATCACCATCGTGTTTTGGACATGCGCCACTCGATGTGGCAGCTTCAAAATCGAAGCCCACAAAGCCTCAGGATGTCAAGAAAGCCTCGGCAAACCCGGATAAGACCCCTAGACCAAAGCTGCATAACAAATAAGAGCCGAGGATAAACTATGGCAGCCGGGTAAACGCAAGAATTACTCCCCCCCAATCTTCATGGTACAGCCCTTGTAACTAATTCCGAAACTGAAAAGCTAAAAGCTAAACAGTCCTAACACCCCGAAGACCACCAAAATTGAAAGCCATCAAGAGTTCCCTTTCCAAGGCGGCGGCTGTGAGAGTCCGTATTGCTCGCCGCACAGCGGACGATGCTACGAGACAAAGAACGAGCAGCCCTCTGGCTACCGGTACTTACTAGTAGAGTAAAGTAATCCTTGTTCCTATTTTAGTGCCCAGGACAAAGAAACAGAACGCATGTATTTATATATATATATACACACACATAGAGACATCTGTACATGTATGTATGTCTGTCTGTCTGTCTGCATGTACGTATGTTTGTATGTCTGTCTGTCTGTCCGTCTGTCCGTCCGTCCGTCCGTCGGTCTGTCTGTCTGTCTGTCTGTCTGTCTGTCTATCCGTCTGTCTGTCTGTCTGCCTGTTCGTGTGTATGTATGTATGTATGTATGTATGTACGTATGTATGTACATACATGGGTCTATACATATATACATATGTGGATGTATATATCTTTGTAGTATAATGCAATAAATTAT